CCCCCTACGTGCGTAAGCAAAAATTAATGAAAACTTCCCAAATTTAATATTTTTTTGAAACTTCAAAATGAGTTATCACAAGATTAGAGAATTTCAGACCCAGAATCCTATTTCAAAGTCAATGTAAATTATTGCTGATTACTTAAATTAATTTGTAAAACTAAATAAATATTCCAGAGCCTTTGCAACCTGAGTAGTATGTTCGAAATATTGATTTAGTCCAGTCAAATTACGGAAAAAAAAGGGCTAAAAAAACATGAGCGAGCACAGTTTGGGGATTTTGAGGATCGATAGGGGGGTGCATCCTGAGCTTAAGTTCCAATTTGAGGGGCTGTACTGAGGTCAGCTCAAGGTCATTTCGATGCAAACGCGTTTAATTCGATATCTCGAGAAATATCAGTGTTAGCCAAAAAATTATAGAGACCTTTTTTCTTCTAAATGAAATTTATTAACTTTTTTATTTAAAACTTTTTTTTGTAACATCAATATTTTTTAAGTTATTACTCCCGCAAGGCAAAAATTTCATTTTTTTCCCCTATTTTTCGTCGTTTTCTCCCCAAACATTCAATTTTATTGAATTTTACCGATCATCAACGTGTATATCTTTTAATTATGCACAATTTTGTTCTTAAACTTTTTTCTGTAACTTCAATACCTTCGGAGTTATTCGACCTCGGGTGCTGAATTTTCCGAATTTTATAACCTATTTTTTGTATCAATAAATGACCTCAGTACAGCCCCTCAAATTAGAACTTAAGCTCAGGATGCACCCCCCTAACGATCCTCAAAATCCCCAAACTGTGTTCGCTCATGTTTATTTGATTCCGTAATTTGACTGGACTAATTAAAACAAAAAGGAAAGGGCTCAAAAGTGATCCGCTTAAATTGTAATGCACGATCACAATTCGCTGTAGTCACAGTTGGGCATTCAAACACGCTGCATGTGCACTCAATATAACAGTATTAGTGTTGGGTAGGACACGCCTTGAAAAAGAGTTTGTAAGAGTAGCCTCTTTTTTGTACTGAACCAGTACAATGTCCCACTTCAAATGAGGCGAGGCGTACTGAAGCTCGGCAATACATTTGAAGTGATGAGTACAAATATGACATTGAGGCGTACAGAAGCTCGACATTACGTTTGTGTGCACGAGTAGCACCTCCTCTACGCACTATCATCTTGCTGGATCCAGCATGCAGGACAGTGCTATACACGTAAAACAGATAGAGATACAGATGGATAGTGCGTAGAGGACTTAAATGAAATGTCATGCCTCGCTCTCTCTCTCAGACTTACGAAGAGTGAGTGAGTAACGAGACGCGACTATCGCGACATTTAATGTGAAGTAGTACATTTTAAAATTTTGAGCCGCTCTTACAATTTGGCGTCATGTCCGGGACAAATGTACCGCCTCTTGTAAGTCCTACTCAACACTAAACAGTATTGCGTATATTCTGTGTTATAAAGATATAACCACAGACTATTAGATGCTTACGCATGATATAACAATGGTGTCGATTATGGCGTGATTCTCTAAACTTAAAACTAAATTTGACATCAGCCTCTCCTTTTCATTCTGTATAGAGAATGACAAGGATATACTGTTGTCAAATTTAATTTTAGGTTTAGAGAATCATGCTAGAATCGACACCAATGCCTTCGATGCCTTTATAAAGAACACAAATAGTTTAAAATCAAATAACAAATGCCTCGGCAACACTTCTCATTCGTAAAACTGTAAAATATTTTTTTTCTCAATAATCACGGTTATTTACCTAGTAATCATCATTTTGTTATCAAGAAAAGGGCAACAATGCCCAGCCGTTCGCACTCGGAAGTGGACTCGCCGTTTCGCTCTCTCTGCGTTGAAGCGTACAGTTCTGTGTCGCTCGCTGGGTTGAATGTTATTTACAGACGTGTGCGAGTTGCATAAGTAGTTGAGTCGGATCATATTTTATTTGATGCTAGTATGAGCGTACCGTATCTTCCCTTTTTGTTTTAATCTAAGATTACAGCCAGAGAAATTTCTGGCTGCAAGCGAAGAGATACTAAACGCTTGTGGAAAACTGTCGATGAAATACAGTAGAGACATCTCAGTTAATCCTTATGACCAATTAAAGGCTCTAAAAACATGCTTAAAACCTGAAATTTAAAAAAAAAATCCATTATGGAACTCATTAAATTATTGCTGATAAAATTCAATAGTCTTGCATCTAGTTTTCCGAAGGTAGGTAATAACAGCATGCTTTTTATGTCTAGTTACAACCGCAACTGCTGAAAGAAGTTTCTCAAAATTAAAACTAATAAAAAATTACCTAAGAACTTCGATGGGACATGAACGCCCGTCAGGCTAATCACTATTGTCCATAGAAGCAGAAACTTTAGAAAAAGTAAAGTCATCATCAGCTATAAATGATTTAATAAATCAGCTTGCCGAAAAGAAGGCAAGGAAAGTGTATATTTAATTTGTATTGTTTGAAAAATGTGACAAATAGACAATTATGATGAATAAATATTTCTGTTAATTTTATGCAAACTTATTTTTTTCTTTTTTGAGAAATCTTTACCCTTCCTAAAGGCCCCCAAACAAATTTTTATAAGGGGCCCCGCCAAGGCACGCTACACCACTGAAATTTAAGTTTAGGATGCTAATGAAGTTTATGGGAACACGTTGGGCGCCACTTATGGGACTTGAAAGGTCAAAATCAATTTGTGTGCATGCGTTGTTTGCCAAGCGATAGGGACGTGGCCTAACAGTTTTGCTAACGGCGAATGGATAAAATTTGTCTTGATAACATGTTGTATTAGAGAGGTGGCACACGAGACCAGGCTTTAATAGGCTGGTTTATGCATTCCTAAAATAAGTTCCGATACCGGCCACGCGCCACAAAATATTGGACCTGTTTTGCTGTTTTTTTACTGTGCTATACGATATAGAGCATGTTGCGAAGGAAGGGAGTGGCATTTATTTAAAGAGGAAGGTGTAAATAAGCCTTTTATATTTCCTATTACTCATTCCGATTATTACAAATTATTAAGTTTCCTACAAGGGAGGAGATTTTACGTAACTACCTAAAAACACAGATTTCATTTCATTTTATCAGCACGATGGAATCGATTCGGGCATGATTCTCTAAACTTAAAACTAAATTTAACATCAGTCACTACTTTGCATTGTGCATAGAGAATGACAAGGATATACTGGTGTCGATTCTGGCGTGATTCTCTAAACTTAAAACTAAATTTAACATCAATGGTGTCGATTCTGGCAGGATTCTCTAAACTTAAAACTAAATTTAACATCAATCTGTCCTTTTAATTCTGTATAGAGAATGACAAAGATACACTGTTGTCAAATTTGTGAATCGTGTCAGAATTGACACCACTGTTGTCAAATTTAAGTTTAGATTTAGAGAATCACGTCAGAATCGACAACAATGTCGTGATAATTATTGACAGTTTATTATGCCCCATTCACATTCACGCTTGTTCGCGTTCGCCGAGCTTCGCGGCACAAGTGTGGAGCCGGTATTACAGATTTTTAGTGTAGCAACATTAAAATAAGCTGCAATAGTGTAGCAGCGGCTTGACTAAAATAATTATCGACATTCAAACATGTGACTATAAATGAATAAATAGATGCATCGAAATATGATACTTTTTTTAAATAATTATTACAATATATATGAGTTTAGGGAGTTTTGTCAAGAATGTAGCGTTCTTGACAAAACTCCCTAAACTCATATATATTGTAATAATTATTTAAAAAAAGTATCATATTTCGATGCATCTATTTATTCATTTATAGTCACATGTTTGAATGTCGATAATTATTTTAGTCAAGCCGCTGCTACACTATTGCAGCTTATTTTGTGCCGCGAAGCTCGGCGAACGCGAACAAGCGTGAATGTGAATGGGGCATAATAAACTGTCAATAATTATCACGACATTGTTGTCGATTCTGACGTGATTCTCTAAATCTAAACTTAAATTTGACAACAGTGGTGTCAATTCTGACACGATTCACAAATTTGACAACAGTGTATCTTTGTCATTCTCTATACAGAATTAAAAGGACAGATTGATGTTAAATTTAGTTTTAAGTTTAGAGAATCCTGCCAGAATCGACACCATTGATGTTAAATTTCTGAAAAGTGCGCTTTTTGATACAATGGAAAAATCCCATAAACGCCGTGATACATATTTGTATTGTCAATTTCTGAGATGTTCTAAGTTCCAGCGTTACTATTTGAACCCTGAACAGTTGATTCGATTTTACAAAAAAATATGAAAATCGGTTGAGAACTTTAAAACTTAGGGTAAACGTAACAGGCTTTTCAACATTGAAGCTGAATCTTGGAAGATGATGAAAATTGAAAGGTAGGGTAAAAAAACTTAATTTCATTTAATACCGGATGAGTTAATGCTATTAATGTAATTTGATGATTTATAAAAACAAACAACCTTTGCGAGTTAAGGGATATAATTATTTTACCCTAGGCCCTAGAATAAGTGAGATACAACTTATATTTTATTTGTTTCAAAGCTCTGAAACTGGGCAACTCCTTAAACGAACTGTGTTGCATTTTATTTTTGCTGAGCTATCAATGCAAATTACTTATAATATGACTGATTGTTTTTTCGTTCTGAACAAGTATACTGCACTGCACCTAAGGAAAATGACTATTCGTATACATTTGCTATTTTATCAACGAGACAGGAATCACCTTTACCCACATATAAAGTATGATAAGCTGTCACGCTGTAACTCTCACATTAAAAAATAACTCGAATTAATACTTTTAAAACAAAATTCAATATGTGAAATAACAACCTTGAGTACATTTTTCATTATGTATGACTGTACTATCTTCAACCCACGATTTATATATTATCGATATAATACTCACGATATTAACTACACCGCACTACTGTGTTTTTTTTATGTGACTGACAACTTTGACAGTTCGTTTTCTTTTCGTTTGACGCAAGACACAGCAGTCATTCATATATTTAGGGCGAGGTTGGTTGTTATATCCGAGTGTTCATTATTTATTGGGCGTTTATTATTTTCTAAAACAGTTTTAACATAAAACTACTAAATAGACCTTTGTATTTTTTTCTTTTCGTTAAATCATCGGTGAATAAGTGGTTTCATTCAAAAAACGCAGTTTGTGGGCAATGCAGTGGGTACTATCTATAAATTTGTAATAAATTGTGATTTGTTTTTATAAAGAAAATGGGGAAATTATTGAGTTTACTGTCCCGCGACGACTCTAACTGTTGTTCATCACCACGATACGACATATTCTTGGATTTTGAAAATGCAGCACCAACAGACACGGAACGTGTCGTTTTTGAAGAAGTTCAGAGGGTATTATTGGACTCTGAGAAGATATTAGAGGAAATTCAATGTTATAAAGGAGCTGGGAGAGAAATAAGAGAGGCCATAGCAGATCCATCGAGAATATCACAAGAGCGAGCTTCGCGCGCAGTCAAACCATTGGTTGATAAGCTTCTGAGATGCTACAATCACTCCCTGGAGTTGCAGAGGGTAAGTGTATAGAATATATTATTTTTATTCACAAATAATGTGTACCTACAAGTTAGTTTGCAATCAATAGGAAAATGGTCTTACCATTATCACAAACAGGAAACATAATTAATTTTTATCAAATACTTGACTGAATTATTGTATTCACTGTGTTCAAATGCAAAACACAAGATAAGTATGAAGTGTATTTACACTGCTTGGGAGTGATCTATTTAATGTCTTATATCTTTATGGTTAAATGCTTTAAATAGCACAGTAGTGGGTAATTGTTTATTTCTATAAGGCTATGAGAAATATAATAGGTATTCTGGTGTTTAGTAGAGAATTCGTAGTTATGGATAGTTGATTAGTTATGTAAGTACATGTTATAATGCATGTATTTATCACATAAAGAAAATATTTCAAGGACCTATTTTTATAGTTTTCCTACTTGTTATTCGTTTAGAACTTGATAGTTGAAAATGTTGAAATATAAATGGATCATTTGTAAATAATACTACATAAAGACACCTCACTCACTTAACAGCCATGATCACAAAACCATATAAATGTTGCGCACTTAGCAACAACGGCCAACTTCAGTTTAACTGGCCACAGGTTGTGGTCGTCCAGTGAGAGACCTGACTAAATAGAACACAGCAACTTCTTAGTTCCTCAAACAATACATTAACTATGATTGTCTCATTTCTCTCAATTAAAAATACATCCAATCTTCTATGAAAAATTTTATGTAGACATAGTCAACAGTAACACATTTTGTAAGTACTTTATGAAAACAGTAAAATCTTTAGTGACTGCACATGAATTAAAACCATGAACTCGATTACAATAGGCAAAAATGTATAAAAAGTAAGAGTAAGTTATAAAGAATAAGTAAGAATTTTAATAAACAGTCCATAATATTTTAAAATATCAATATGGTGTTGTTGCATTGCATATTTATGGAGGTTAAATATTTATGCAGGTTTCAGTATAAAATTAATTGTATTAAAATCATATAAATATAATCTATCATGCATGCTGCCCCACTGCAAGACACAGACTGCAAAGTATAAAAAGTCTATCAGATTTGAATGTCACTTCAAATGCATTGTGTTAAAAATGACTTGCTTTATCAAAGCCTTTATCAATACACTTGTGATTGCAGTGATGTCACTGATAACACATCCTGCTGATAACTAACAAGTTTGTTTGCTGTCAAAATTATTTGTGATCACTTTAGCACTTGTATGTAACGTAACATTATAGATTCGAGCATTTCATCAGTGAGGGAGGACAACTGAGCATTACAGTGCGCAACCTATAAAGATACAATCTGTATTATTTTAATACAATTTGTACTACAAAGTAATGCATATTGATGTTACAAGTCTTGTAGCATCAATATGCATTACTTTTCAGCATGATATATAAACAGCCATGTCTCCGTAGTATGAGCACCACAATTTAGCTTATATCACGTTTAATATCGCGCCTAACTGTCAAACTCTAGTGATTTATCAATTAGCGTGATTAAAACGAGCTATATATCATATCGCGGTGCTCATGCTAGGGGGGCTGATTTAAGTATAAATGATCGTATTTATCGTACTGACATTTGCCCCACCGTGATTCGAATCCTCCTGTCCCTGTAGCATGAGCACCACACAATTTACATTATATCACGTTTTTATCGCGTTTAACTGTTAAAATATTTTGTAATTTGACAATGGAGCGTGATAAAAACGCGTTATATACCATTTCGCGGTGCTCATCCTAGGGGGAGGCTGGATCAAGCCCCGTAGGTCGTCAGGTAATTTGACAGCAGTCTTTCCCAGTCTTATTTTGTTTTATTTATTTAAGAAATATTCACTCCTGTAATAACATGATAAGGATAATACTGATGTTAAAGTAAATATACAAATCGGATATGCGAATAGCCATGCGAAGTGCTAGTATTAAGAGTGTACAGCCCCCGAACAATAAACAAAGACAAACGACTATTTGTCTACGTTGATGGCAGACCACACTCGGCGACGTGTATATTTTTATGAGGCCCATAACCACTGTCCGCTCGTCTCAATAATCATTACGTTCGACACGAAGATATAAATAAATAAAACATGTTCGTTGTTTAACCTCCCTGTTGGTTTATATTTTATTACATAGCTGTTGCACCAGAATTTTCTTGCAAAAACAAAAGAATTCATAAAAGCAGCGAGCGTGGATGAATCGAATAATTAAATCGCCAAAGACATTAAAATATATATCTACATACACACACACGCCAATAATTATGTTATATCACTATTCTTGTTATTTTATAAGAGAATCGCAAGGTTTTGTATAACGACTCATCAAGATAATGGGGATGAAATTATTGTCGCGTTGTACGATGGCGAAAAGCAGCAGCTGGTAATAGTCCGAACAATTTCCTTGAACACTCCCCTTGATAAATGCGATAGAAGATGCAGAGCGAAGCTACATCCCTACGCAAAGCTAAAGGATCAAGCTTATCGGAGAGGTTCTGGTCATCGATGAGCCACTCGGCGCTGGATCCAGGAGGCCAAACTGGTCCTCAGGTACCCCCGCCCAAAGGTGAGAACAGTATTCCCTTCAGAGTATGATAAGGATATGCTGCTGTCAAAACAAATAGCAATATACTAGAATGAGACATGTAAGTATTAGTTTTACAGACATACATACACATATTTATTTACTTTGTTTTCACGTACACAATTCATTAAATAAAACTCTTTTCGATTCAATATAAGTAGGAGATAAAAAAAATTCAGAGTCTGTTTAGCCAGTTCTTCTCAGAAATATCTTCCAAATTGGAAACTGGTGCTAGTTAACGGTAGATAGGGTCAAATAATTAAAACACAAAAAATAAATAAAGTAGTTTATTGTTTAAGAATTAAGTAATAAATTAATATTGAGACAGACAATCGAAATTTTCAACAATCTTTCATGAAGTTTCCGTATCTGAACGTTCAATTAATATTTAAAGGAAAAATATTTTCGTGAAACGTCGGAAAATGTATAAAAATATAAAAAAAACCACAGTTAAAACCCTTTAAAAGAGTTTTTTATACATAGACAACTCGTATAAGTCTTACATTGCTTCCATAGCCAACGACTGACCGACACCGCTATTGTGTGGTGGTTGTGTGACACAACTTGGGTCTTATGTCCGATCTATTTGTTGGGCGTAATCTTCTCCGTCATTGTATCTAGCACCTAATTGCCAAAGACGAGGTTTGCTGTTTTGGCCCACACATTGGACACGGGACCGTAAATGATAGTTATTAGTGCAGATCTTATAGTTGTGGCTGAGATATGGGCATCGCGACCGCCACAATGATTGATCGAATCGCATCGTCAAAGTTTGTATGAAAACAAAGCACGCCCCCACCGGACGTAAAAACAAACTTGTTCCTTCCATACAAAAATTGACGATACGATAACGGAGCTGTCAAAGTTCGGTTTGTGTCTGTGGTTCTTCTGTATCAGTGAAAGGCTTTAACCACTTTATTCGGGAGAGGTAGGGCCAGACCCGTCATTCACAGTAGGCACTTTGGGCAAGTGACCAGGGCCCCGCGATCGATAGGGGCCCACCTCAGATCACAAATACAAAGTCGCTAGTTCCTGTTAAATCACCAAACGGGGGTCATAGGGGCCCCATTATCCTAATATGCCCAGGGCCTCCAATAAGTCAAAGACGGCACTGGGTAGGGCATTGTATATCAATATCATAGTATACAGAACGAGGTCCTCTTTCTGTTTTTTGTCTTGGTAGATTTTATTCCTTCCTTCGAATTTGAATCGGATTTTAGAGTCTGCCTTGGAAAGTAACCTCACCTTAGAGAAGACCATGTAGTGAAACACTATTTTATCGTGGTGTTTTCACCGGGGGCCAGATTTCCAGGGCTACATTGAGTAAGGGATATAGAGTCGGGGTAAGTGAAGGCGTAAGTGATACTCTGGTAAAGCAAACGACCGCTTAAAACATCACTCGGACCATATATGATATTTTTAGCACCTTTCCCTACATAAAATACATATTAGAAAAAGCGGCAAAACGTTAGTGGATGTTGCTTTTCTTTCGCAAAAATATTGCTAGAATTATAATATCCATGAACACAAGCCCATGCAATATTTTTAAGTAATTTTTTCAACCAAGATAACACTTGTTGTGATCCGTAAAAGCATTGTCACGATACATATTTAAGTTACTAATGTCCTAATATTTTACTGGCTGGGTTGACCAAATCAAAGTGGCATGATACCGTAATACAATTATTTATTCTGTAATGGTACTGCGTTGTACATACACATATTGCTTGTTAGACGTCCGTTTGTTCCTGCTTAGCTCGTTCGTCGATTTCGCTCGATTACCAAGCCAAACCTATATCGGTTACAAACAAAGCTCATTGGCTTAGTAGGTTAACATATAACGTATAATATATTATACTTTGAGATCTTTGACATATTTTTGCATTGACGACAATAATATAAAGGTTTATTTGAAAATTGCTTGACTTTGGGGGTTCAACCAGCAAGCTGCAAAACTTCCGGGTGGCAGAAATTGCAATTATTATTTTCGCTGATAGCAACAAGCTTGCCAGGCTTACTTAGCTTACGTCAAAGTTTACGCAATGTTAGGAAACAAGATGTGTATTTTAAACAAGTGTTGCATTTTTCTATTGGTAATAGAAAGAAAGTGACAGCACTAAGTTTAATCATACGTAAAAGTCAATCGAGGTTTCCGAGTGCGGCTGTTAGAACGTCAAACTCAGTTCGCCCACAAAGCAGTCCACAGAACACAGAAAGAGGTAAGAAGGGTGATCATTATACCGTTTGTACGGAAACCGATGTTCCACCTAATAGATAATAGCGAATCAAACGACTCGACATCAAACAATCGAACCAATCAGCGCTCAAACCCGAGAGCAACGACGCAATCAGAACCAAGTTTTTGTCAAGTTATGAGCATTTGCTCACACATAACTGTGGAGCGC